GTTTTCACATCTGAAAGCTATAGGTTCAATATCTGTATTACATTGAGAGTAATGTGAGGTTGCCATGTTGTCAGGGCAAACTGCCTTTGGGAAGTGCATGGAACATAATAGTGGTCTAATCTTGAATTTACTGGTCTATTGTTCTTGAATTTACAATATCTGTGTTCTCTCCATTGATCATGACAAATAAGGCTCCATATTATTATTGTTGTTGTTATATTATTATTATTATGGTTTTTTGAGATAGATTTTTCTCTGTAGTTTTGGAGCATTCCTGGAACTAGCTCTTGTAGACCAGGTGGGCCTCAAACTCACAGAGATCCGCCTGCCTCTGTCTCCCAAGTCCTGGGATTAAAGGCGTGTGCCACCAATGCCCGGCTAAGGCTCCATATTATTACAGGTATAGACTTAGCAACTTCCCAGGAGTCTCAATTGTGAGCAACCCTGATATTGAGAAGGCTGAGGACTTTCCACATGGAAACACTGGAGAAAATACAGCAGACCACCTTAGAGAGATGTGCTTTCTTGTGAAATGTGACGGGCCACTCATCACACATACTTTTTATTCTTGCACTGTGAAGCATATTGTGCATGACCTCATGTTCTCAAAAAAAATGAAAATTATTTTTAAGTTATTTGATATTTATACATGCATATAATGCGTTTGGATCTATGTCACCCCCTAATTCCTTTTCCTTCCCTTCCAAACCCACCCCACCCCCCACCCACATTTTCCTTTCATCTTCAACTTCTCTCTCACTTCCTTTCAACATCATCTTCTTCCCCTCCCATCTAATATGGAACCTACCAAGTCTATTTAGAGTTTTCTGTATGCTCATGGTTGCAGGATCAGTTACCAGAGCATGGGGAATAGTGTCTCAAGACCTGTATCCCTGAAGAAAAGTGACCCTTGTTCTTTAGTCAGCCATCAACTTCCTGTGCCTCTCTCAGCTCGTGGTGGAGCTTCAGAGCCCTCCCTCACTCCTGCTGGGGTTTTGACTGGTCTGATCTGGTGTGGGTCTTGTGAACGCAGTCCTAGTGTTTGTGAGCGCATGTGTACAACTGCACTGTCCTAGCCAGCAACGATGTTTTCCTGCAGAAATCCACTCCCTCTGCTTCTTCTGATCTCTCTGCTTCTCTTTTTGTGATAAATAGAAAAAACCCAGATATAAAAAATGAAAAAATAAAAATTTAGACAGGCTCTCGATATACAGCTCTCTCTGTCCTTGAACTCACAGGTCCACCTGATTCTACTTTCCAGTGCAGGGATTTAAAGTTATGAAAATTCTTAATACTGTCCAAACAAAAGATTCTGCTAAACTTTCTCTGATTTGTTCCCTGTGTTCATATATGAAGGGAATGTTAAATTTTAATCAAAGATTAAGGAAAATAAAATTGTCAAAATCCAAGTGCATAGATTAGCCATGAATTCTATCTATAGATCCAAAAAAAAACCATGTTTTCCACATGAAATGAGTCAACCTGACTCATTTATATGCCCAGTAAAGGCCACCTGGCACCGTAGAAAGAGTGGCTTGGCATGGGGCAATCTACAGTGGTGCCATCGATGACTCTAACACCTTCGTTTGTGTCTTCAGTTTGATGGGGGAGGCGTTAGCGTTTGTTAGGAGGTTTTGAGATGTGTGCATTGTTTGTCAGGGAGCTGACACTGCTTATGATCTTGAGTCATTTATTCCCACTGTGTCCAGCTTCTACTAACAGATAATTGGGCTTCACACACGGTTGGAATTAAAATATCTACCTTCAGCCACTGTCTACTGCCTCTGTGCGTTTGGGGGTAGATAACATTTAACCCTCTCTCACCTACACTTCCCAAACACTAATTTCTCCTGAGCCTGGCTTAGCTTCCTTCTTTAGTGGTCCCCTCTGAACCTTCTCCTCTGTTTCACATCCTACCAACCAGAAAAACAAGCATTTTTTTTACATCAAACTTTAGGGAGATTTTCTCTTCATCTTTCATAACCATGTTAAGTACCATATTACCTCCTTTCTAAATTCCTCATCGTCTTTAACTGATTAATCCCCTTCTTTCCAGTTGTACAGATTCTTTGGGCACCATATGTGCAGCACGTACTGGGGATGCAAACCTGGACCAATGGAGCATGTTCCTTGCTTCATACACACACACACACACACACACACACACACACACACACACACACACA